CTGATACCTCTTCATTCAATTCAATTTTATTTGTATAGCGCCAATTCATAACAAAAGTTATCTCAGGATACTTTTCAAATAGAGCAGGTCTAGGCCGCACTAACGCGAAAGTTAGTGATAAAGTTACACAAGTTAACAAATTGCTCTTTGCTACTTCAAAATGAACAGGTGCATAAGTGTCGCAAGAACAAGACAACAGAAGTGAGATTGAACATGGAAGCGCCCTGTTTCCTGCTAATTAGCCCAGACATTAAGAGGAAAATACAGGATTTTTTTGGCCTCATCTCCTACACCTTATGCAAAACAGATTACACTCATTTAAGATTTACCGGACTTGGAGGACTTTATCGTTTACTACTACCTTTAACAAGACAACAAGGACTTTAACACTGGCAGCAGTAAACCCAAAAGAAAAAAACAAGATTCATCCACGGACACAGAGGACCTACTGACAACAGAGATTGACTGTAATTTGCCCACAATCACATCACATTCACAAAAAAGTAAAAAATAAAATACTAAATAAAAAAAAAAAACTAGTCACAATCTTCCATTAGAACTAACCAAACAGAAAACAAAACAATAATTTCATCAAATATACAAAGATTAAAGACTTCATTAAAACTTGCCATAAACTTCTACCTGATGGTTTAACAGTACACCATATCAGTGTGGCATCAAATAAGGCCGTCAAATACAGAGACTTTGGGACTCTGGGAATAACACTCAGTTATCACCAACTTCAAGCCACCAACCCAAAGCATCATGCTATCTTTCTCAGCTCTGATTGGTTGTGTTTTTTAAGGCCCGGTGGATTCTTGCAGATGCCATTAGGAGCACTAGGAGGAGCCAGAGGAACCAGATTTTTTCAGAGAACCTGACAAAAAGTTATTTCTAAAAAACTATCCTACTGCAGCTTTGAGTAAAGTAAATGAGCGCAGCAAAGTACTGTCTTCCATGTTGAAGGAGCGCAGATAAAATTCAGAGTGAGGGTACCTGATCATTATCGGGCCAGATAAATTATCAGCCGATAATGGGATCTTTTTATTATTATGAATTATCTGGATAATTCAATTACAGCTGATAAATTATTTGAAAAACATTATTATATTCAATTCTAATACAAAACGATCAATAGGCTTTATATGATTTATTTTGTATAAAAGCCAAAGTATGTTTGTGAAGTTTTGCGAAGAAAGAATAAATAAACATGTGAAGAGTCAGAACTGTTGTTTGTTGTGTTAACAATAGTGATGTCAGTGATGATTTGGTTCGCTCAAACCTATGGAATATTAAATTATCCAACTTTGCTCACTACATTTTGCAGTCTTTTTTACCCTCAGGTATGCATAAACTATGTTATCCATAACATGCGTCCCTAAAAACTCTACTATTTACTATTACTCAGTGTCAGTTGCTTCATTATAATTTCTCTTTCAAATCAAACATCTTAAGATACGAATGGAAAACATTTGCAACTGCAAATATAACATTTTTAAATGGTTATAATATTTAACCATGCGATATGCTACTTCAGTACTCAGTAGTCATAACTTGGAAACATGGAGAGAGTGTTTTTCAAACACTGAAAATTGATCCCCAAAAACACTGTATAGATTTTAGTTAATTAAACCTCTCGCCATTGGATAGCAGTGCTGTAAATGTGGATGTTACAGGGACTGTAATAAATACAAATGCAGATCCGTGTACAAACACTACAGAATATTCCAGATGACCATTTAACATCCAGGAATTCATATAATAGACACTACCACTGACTATTTGTGGCCACAACTGAACCCTACACTCTCAAGCCATATACTGAGGTTTTAACCTAGTCTTGTTTGTTGACAGACAACAAAATTGTCCAGGCTGTGTGTGACCCGCTCAGGACAGACACAGCCTGGTTACAGTCTGAGCAGAAATGAACTCTTCTGTGTCCAAGTAGGTTAAATATCTGTTGGCCAACTAAAATCATCCTGCTGCGGAAATCCTGGTGTCCTAGGGGTTAAAGGGCAACTCCAGTATGCGTTTAAGCAACACCTTTCACATTATACATACTCATTTTACCCATTGCTAATATAAAAGATATTGATTAATTACATTAATTACAATTTAGTGGTTGACCAATTGGCATTGGCCAGTGAAAAACCCATATTTAGAGAGCAAGGCTGGTGATGGCCGATATCCCCCCAAAAAATAAACCATGTATAATTTTATGCTGTTATATAGGAAATTTATGCATATGTTTACAGCAGGATGCGTGAGAGTTATAGTACAGGGTTCAACACCAACTTCCCCACCTTCCCAAAACTCACAAAACTCCACAGCAGGCACATTGACCAGGATGCCTGCAGATGTGTCTGAAGACATTTTTTGTTTATGGGCCTCATGAGAACAGACATTGGCCAATACCGATTATCTAAAGATGCCAGAATTAATGGGCTGACTGATTAATTGGCCTATCACTATTATAATTATACAGTGCTGTTAAAAAGTATTTGCCCCCTTTCCGATTTCTTATTTTCTTGCATATTTGTCACACTTAAATGTTTCAGATCAAACAAATTTTAATATTAGACAAAGATAACCTGAGT